AACATGCCCAAAAGACTGAAAACAGGAACCCAGACAAACACGTGCACGTGAGTGCTCCTGGCAACGTTATTCACAGTGGTTGAAAGGTAGAAACAGCCCCAAAGTCCATCCATGGGGGAAGGGACAAACAGATGTGGTCCAGCCATAGGACGGAGCATTGCTGAGCCACAAACAGGAATGAAGGACCGCTATGTGCCGCCATGTGGCTGAGCCTCAGAAACATGGCACTGCGTGTAAGAAGCCAGGCCCCAAAGGCCACGTGTCATAGGATTCCGTTTGTATGAAATACCCAGAATAGGGAGATCCGAGGATGCCACTCGCTAGAGTAAATCCCCTCTCGGAGCTTCAGTCTCCTGATGAGGGGGTGGGAAGGGGAAAGGAGGGGCCTCAGCACCGAGCCTAGTGGGCACTGGACCTGGGGTCCCAGGTTCCACGGGAGGCACAAGGACCCTGCAGGTAGAGCCGGCTCTCTGGGGACCCTGGCTCAGCGGTCAGTCCCTGGAGAAGAGGGGCAAGGGATGCCAGGAATCAGCCTGCGCTCCTTACCCTTAGGATTTCCCAAACTCGGCAGCCCCCCAGCCTGCCGCACGTGCAGGAAGTGAGGAATCACCTCTGGGCGTAAGAGCAGCGGCAGCCCCAGGGCCGAGGACAGAGGTAGGAAGCAGTGTGGCCAGACCGACCGGCAACCGAGGCCTCCTTCCCACCAACCTGCCGGCCCAGCAGGACGAGGCCCCCATCCACCTCCCAGGGCAGCAGGGAGACAGACAGACAGATGGAGGAAAAGATTAGCCTCCCTGTGCCCTTCGCCCCCACCTCCTTCCTCAAGTTCCTCTCTGATCGCAGCTCTGAAGGTCTTTGCACCAGAAATAGCAAGGATTTCACTCATGCCCTAAATCTGAGGACAGGGTGTGGGAAAGTCCAGTCGGACAGAAATTGTGGGGAAAACAACCCATACCAAGGAGTTAAATAAAAGCAGATGAGTTTGCTCTCTCCATGTTTCCACTGTTCTGGAAAGAACAAAATACATATGCACGTATAAACTGCAAAATAGAAATGGTGCTATCTCAGTGATTTCACACATGAGTTAAACGCACAGATGTTTGCACTTCAAGCTGAGAGATATAAAGGTGAACGGTAAAATGCATGCTAATAAATTAAAATTTTAATTCTCCTTTACTCAGAAGGACTGTAGTCAGCTAGTAACTTATCACTGGGGAATGGACAGCCCGGGGGTCGGAGCTGGGGACTGAGGGCCAGCTGTGCCCAGGATGAAGCTTCCTGCAGGGCTATGGGGGCCTCTGGGGGTCGGGGGCAAGAACAGAGGCAGAACGGAGGGGGCTGCACGTCGGCTGGGACTTGCTCTGCAGGGTCCGTGGACGTGGGCATCAGTGTCAACCAGTCCACACTATAGGCTTTGTGCATGTTTCGCTCTGAATCGAAATCCGTGCTCACCCAATTTTTCAGGATTGGTCTGCCTGTGGTATGCCGGGCGGCTGCCGAGTGCCAGAGAACAGGGGTTGCTTTCTGTTCAAGACCATAGAGTTCTGGACAAAAGCGCAGCCCACTTCTGGAGGTGGATGGAAAAGGACCTTCCTGGGGAGGGGACTGAGGACCTCAGCCTCACACACAGACATTTGGAGAGAATGTTCTGGAACACTGGGATGGAGGGGCAGACATACATAAACAAACACGTGTGCATACATGTGCACACGTAGCTTGCTTTCCTGCTGTTCCGTTTTATGGGCTCTTTTCTCCACCCCAGTGAGGTTGGATCTGGGGGCTTTTGCCCGTAGACTGACCTGTGTCTTCATTCCATCGGCAGGAGTTCACAGGGGCCCTGCTATGTGCTGGATGATAACAGACAGGGTAATAAATAAATAAATAAGACAGGAGTCCCTGCCTCATGGGATTCATGTCCAGGGGGCATGGAGGAAAACTCAGCACTGTGGAGGGAGGCGGCCAGGCTGGAGTGCAGGCGGGGTGCAGCCTCCACCAGGCACATCAGGAAAAGGCCCGTGAGCGGCCCCTAAAAGAAGGGCGGGAGTTTCCAAAGGAAGGGCGCTCCAAACAGAGATCACTGCATGTGCAAAGGTGTGGAGTCAGCTGCCATCTGCCACATTTGGGAGACTTAGATGACTGCGTGATGCTAAGGCTTAGGTTTGGACTTGAGCTGGAGAGGCCAGGGGTCGGTTCTCACCAAGCCACAGAGGGGCCCTGGCTTAGTGTGGAGGCCATCAGGGTTATATGCGGGAGGAACTTGGTGCCTCCTCTAGTTGTCCCTGAAGACCCCCGGGCTGGCTGGAGCCAGAGTCCTGGCAGGGCTGAGCCCCCTTTTGACCCCAGCCAAGTGGATAAGTGGAAAGGGGTAGAAAAAGTCAGGGGTGTCAGATTTCGCAGGAAGGGTTTAGCTAAATTTTCTCATAGCAAAAATGAAATACAAATATGTGTCGATCCAGATATAAATGAGTGTGGGTTGTTACTGGGTTTGTGAGAAATTCCTTTCGAAATGGTTCCCTGGCCTCAGTGGTGGGCTCCTTCCAGACATGGGTGCATTGGTTCATTCACTTCTGCCTAACAATGCACAGACTACCTATGCGGATGTCTGATAAATCAGTGGATGGATGGATGGATGGATGGATGGAAGGATGGGAGAGCGGGTGGGTGGATGGGTGAATGGGTAGATACAAGTGTAGGTGCATGGAAGAGTGGGTGATTATTTTAAAAGATTTAAAGATTCTTTTGTTGGAGAGACATGACACAATGGCACTCAGATAGATGAAAGGCAGAACTTTTTGTTAATTACTTCCCCAAAGGAGAGAAGTCTTCCAGGCAGGGCCGCACAGGGGTTGCACCTGGGGACAGAGTAACAGCAAGCTGGTGCTACAGGGAGAGCTTATGTACAGCAGGCAAGATGGGTTAGGCAGCTTTCTCAGGCTCCCTGTGGATTGGCTAATTTGAATAATTTTGTAAGTTCCAGGGTATAGGGGCTGTCCATAGTTGTTTGGTACCTGGCCCCCGTGTGATTAGGGCAGGTGCATAGTGGCCCAGAGTGTGAAAGCCGGAGAAGGGAAGTGATGGGAGTGTGAACTTAGCTGTTCAAGAAGAATTGACCAACCGCCAGCCAGGATTTCAAAACTGGGTCAAGATAGCATCCCCCCCTCACCCCGCAAAAAAACTATATTGCAGTGGTGGATGGAGAAGTGTGTAGATGGACGATGCCTTTTGGAGCTCTCTCTGTCAATAGCATTTACAGAAGCATCAGCACTGGATTCAGATCTTTGAAGATTTTTCATCTCATAGATGTAGAATCCTAGAATATGTGAGCTGGAAGGGACCTCACAAGGTCTCTCTCTCTCTCTGATGTCTGAGGGACTCAAGATGCTTTGGATCATAGAAGATCCTTTCAGTAATTTGACGAAGACTATAGATCCTCTATCCTGGAAAAAGCATATAGCACAGTCCATGTTATAGGGCTGGTGGACACCAGGCAACCTGTCCACAGAGCACTGTTCCCATCTAGGAAGTCAGAAACCTCAGATCAAGGAGTCCCAGCACCGTAGAACCAGCCACTGTGCAGAGGAGTCACTGAGACACCAGGTCAGGGAAAGGACCACGTTCAAGCTTATGCAACCAGTTCACAGGCAAGTCAGGCCTAGATCCCAGGTCTCCCCGTTAACCCTTCTGGGACTCAGTTTCCCCGTATCTCTGATAATGGAGTTGGACTCAGTCGCTGGTTTGAAGACTTGGTTCAGAGAAGTTACAGGGGAAGGGGAGACGGCAGGTGGAGTTGTGACCCTCCCGTTTATTCCCCCAGTCCCACCGGACCCACGTCATCAGCTCTCTTTTGAAGGAAATGCTTTAAGACTTTTTCCAAAAATGTTCGAAGGCCCCCATACTTTGCATCTTCTAAGCTTCTGGGAGTGTTAAGTGCTGTGGATTGTCAGTTAGTCTCCAGAGCGAAGCTAAGAAAGCCAACCAGTGTTGAAGTGTGAGGAAACCACAGGCAAACATCCCCAAAGAAATGGCTGAGTCTCAGAGGCACAGATCCTGAAGTGTCACCAGAAAACAGGACAGGGAAAGGTGTTCTATCTCTGAAAACGTTTCCGAGTTTCTGCTGCCATCATCCCTTTGGAAGTATACATGGCGTAAAAAAAATCAGAACTCCCCTGCCTCCCTGGCCACCCTTGTTTCTACCTTCTGTGTAAATGCCCACTGTTTTACACCTGAACTCGGACACAAAACAACCACACAGGGAAAAGAAATAATGATAAGCAATAAATGTGCTATTAGACAAATGGATTCACTTGTGGAGTGTGTCAGCTACGTACCTCAATACCAGAAAGAAGAAAACTAGTATTTTAGGGGTCACCTGCTATGCATCCAATATTCACACCAAATTTTCATTTAGTTGAGAAAAGGGATGGGAAAGTGGTTAAGAACAGAGTTTGGAACCAGACTGCCTGGGTTCCTGGGAGGATTAGCTGAGTTAAGGCATTTATGGGCTTTAAAAAAGCACCTACCACAGTAAAAGTTATATACACGTCAGGACCGTTACTAATCCTCACCACTCCCCTCTCTGAGATTTGTCACCATCAGCAACATTTCAGAGTTCAGAGAGGTTAAGTCACCTGCCCGAGGTTTTTTGCCAGGAAAGCGGCAGCACGGGGACTGAAATCCAGGCTGACTTGGAGCCCAGAACACGTTTGCCAATCCGAGCCTCTAAAGGGCAGCCTGTCTACACAAGAGAACATTCCATGGACTAACCTGGAAATCATCCATGCGGATGGCCCAGCCCCCCAGGCACAGAGGGCAGCAGGAGCCCTGGGCAGATGCAGCCACCCACCTGGCCTCTGTAGGTCTGGGATCTGGAAACGGCAGCCAGCCTGGCTGGGGCCGGCGCTGGGCAGGAGCCGGAGCTCTGGCCTAGGCTGGAGGTGGAGGGAGGAAGTGCCCAGCATGGTGATGACATCACAGCCCAGCCCTTGAAAGATGATCTGTTCCCGCTGCCACTCCAGCTCAGCTCTGGAGGCTCCTCGGAGGACTGGGGCCCTCGGGCAGCCCCGCTGGACCAGGGAGCTACGAAGTGCCCGCGTTTGTGCTCCGGACAAGGTGGGTGCCGGGCAGGGGTTGGTCCAGCCGCCTCACCTTCTCGGGGAAGGACAGGCAGACCAAACACAGAGGGAGGGCGGGCAGATGGGTGACATGGGGGCTGATTCCCAGGCTGGGTGAGAAGTTTTCCTCAGGTCCTAGGGAGTTTGGGAAAGTTCCCTTCCTTCCCTACAGGTAACAAGAAGGACTCCCAGCAAGAGAAATGTTCTTGTTTGTTCTAGGTTTGTCTTCTCCCTGAATGGAGGAGACAGACAGGCAGGTGTGTATTTATGTGAGCTATTTAGTGACCTGACTTTTGGGTGGATTCCTGCACTAAAGCAGAGAGGGTGGTAAAGCAGGGAAGGTGTGGGGTTTAGACTCAAGAATCTGGCTTTTCACTCATAGCCCTATCGCTCATTGGCCCTATGTGACCCTGGACAAGTTACTTAACCTCTCTGAGCCTCAGTTTCTCGTCTGCAAAGTACCCTGCTCGCCTGCTTCCCGGGGCGGCTGGAGTTAATCAGACCACAGACGGAAGGGGGTTTGTAAACGATAGCTGATGTGCGTTGGGGCGGTGGTGGTGATAACTCAGACAAGCTTCGCATCCCTCTTGTCTGGTCCTGGCTGTCCAGGACGGAGGGATAAAACAGTTTGTTTGTTCAGAGTGTGGGCTTTGCATCCAGCCCTGGGTTGGCACCAAGCTCTGCTCTCATCCCCTGGGTAATGCTTTTGAGTCCGTTTTTTTTCCCAGTTTCCTGAGCCAGAAAGCTGACCTGGCAGGATGGGGGGCAAAGACAGAAATGGGCTGATGAAGTGAAGTGTCGCATGTGCAGTAGGTGCTTAATAAATCGTAGCGGTTATCAGAGCTGCCGAGGGCAGGTAGTTTCCCCAGGCTGCGCCGGGGTGGGAGGCGGGAGTTGCTCTCCCAGGCAGGTGAGAATGTGCCTCCTTGAGTCAGGCTGCCTGGGGCTCCCACCAGTCCACAGGAAGTGGGAGCTCTGGCCCAGGAGTGGGCCATGGGGGCCCCAGGGCCAAGCCGCCTCTTAATCCTTCTCTCAGTGGGTGGCTGGGGGCAGGGTGAGTGACCCCACAGGACACTGTCCACCCTCCTTATCTGGAGGAAAACTGTTCTGTGTACTTCTGGGCCCTGGCAGCAGTCAGGGTGAAGGGGACATTCCACAATAGGAGCCCCACAAACTTGAAGGAAGAGTTCACTGTTTTTCTCCCGTTCGGGACAGGAGTCAAGCAGGGGGTGGGGACGAGCCAGGAGAAGGGGATTTGGAGAACACTGCAGATGCAGGCTCCCACACTGGCCCCGTAGCCAGGACCCCAGGGTCTCATCCCAGCTCTGCCGGGAACTCACAGAACCCCTGCAGTCATGAGCTCCGAGGCCATCACAGAGCACATGAGGAAACTGAGTCTCCGAGCCAGGATGTAACTGAGCAAAGCCCTCTGCTCAGGGTCCAGGAAAGGCCTTGACCTCTTTGGGACTCAGGTCTGTCACTTATAGGAAGGTTCCGATGATTGACGAATGGTGAGACTAAGGACATGGGATTAGACCGAACTGGAGACATGCTGGCCAACGGCACCAAGCAGGGGAAAGAGCCGTGCCACGCGGTCTCTGCTAACACAGTGACCGTGCCTGGATAAAAAGTTCAGAGGGGATCCGAGGGTAACATTAATGGTTGCCTTTCTGACCTGTGCAGCCTTGGGGTCAGAGAGGGCACTGGAGATTGCCCTGCAGACCCACCAGGGGATTCTGGTTTTCAAAATCAAAGTAGGGATCATGTCTGTCCATTCGCAGCTGGCTCGCCTGCACTGAGAACCGTGCCTACCATAAAGTGGGCACAGGTCAGTATTTGCTGAATGACTGAATGGTAGATGGGTGGATGGATGGCTGAACGGGTAGATGGATGGGTGGATAGCTGGATGGATGGATGGATGGATGGATGGGTGGATGGATGGGTGGATGGGTGGATGGATGGGTGGATGGATGAATAAATGAATACTGGTCACTTGGCAGGCACTAAAAGCACACAGAACATATTACTAAGTGAAAGAAGCCAATCTGAAAAGGCTACATACTGTAGGATTCCTATTATATGACATTCTGGAAAAGGCAGAACTATGGAGGCAGTGAAAAACACCAGTGGTTGCCAAAGCTGGGGGGAGGGAGGAATGAACCCACAGAACACAGAAGAGTTTCAGGGCAGTGAAACTACTCTGCATGAAGTGTAATGGTGGATACATGTCATTATACATTTGTCCAAACCCATAGAATGTACAGCATCAAGAGTGAACCCTAATGTAAACCATGGACTTTGGCAATATGATATGTCGGTGTAGGTTCGTTGATTGTAAGAACACGGCACTCTGGTGCAGGATGTTGATAAGTGGGGAAGATTGTGCACATGTGGGGTAGGAGGTATATGGGAATTCTCTGTACTTTCTGCACAATTTTTCTGTGAACCTGAAACCTCTTTAAAAATAAAGTCTAATTTTTTTTTTAAAGCACACAGTGCAGGACTGTGTGTTGAGGATTCAGGAGGCACTTAGGGAATCCCAGAGCCAGAATCAGATGATCAGAACTTCCTGAACTTCCTAAGACTTGATACTAAGGCTGAGTACGTCACTTCCAACACCCACCCGGCCCAGGAATCCCCTGACCTCTTTGTGCACATGCTTCCAGGGACGGGGAGGTCACTATTGTACAAGGCAGCCTGCTCCATCTCGAGAGGGTTGTACTGTTAAAAAGTCCTTCCTTAGGGCTTCCCTGGTAGCGCAGTGGTTGAGAGTCCGCCTGCCGATGCAGGGGACACAGGTTCGTGCCCCGGTCTGGGAAGAGCCCACATGCCGCGGAGAGGCTGGGCCCGTGAGCCATGGCCGCTGGGCCTGCGCGCCCGGGCCCGGTGCCCCCAAACGGGAGAGCCCAACAGGAGAAAGCCCCGTACAGCAAAAAAAAAAAAAAAAAAAAAGTCCTTCCTTAGACTGAAGCTAAATCCCTCTCCCACTGAGCATTGGGCCACTTTCTATCTCTTGGAGTGGGACTGTATAATTCTCATCCTATGGGTCCTGCCTGAGCAAAACTTGCACAGCTCTTCAATCAAAATATACTTTCCAGAACAAACCCAAGAAGTAAAGTATTCCTTTGACTCTGGAACCTGCAGGGTTCTACAGGTTAGAAAAATGTGAACCCCCTCCAAAAAAAGTCATCGCAGCACAAAGCAGGGTGGAACAATTTGAAGGCTCTGCGTTCAAATTCTGACTGTCTACTGCTGGAGAGGCTCCTGAGCCTCAGTTTTCTCATCTGTACGATGGGGGTAGTCATTCCTGTTTCTGAGGAGCATGGAGAGGTTTATCTCAGATGGTGCTAGGGCAGTGCAAACAGGGACAGGCTTACTGCAGGTGCCCACTTAGCAGGGGGACGGCAGCAAGGACCTGGGACTACCAGAGGTGTTGTGTGCCCTGCAGTGGGGTCACTACAGCTTGGGGGTTCCCAGGGAACAGGGTGCCCCAGCATGCCCACGCTCATATTCCTAGGCAGTACATCTATGGGTGGCAACAGCTGGAGCCCTGTAACTTTTCCCACTTCAGGTTTCCAGCCCACACTCCCCAGCGCCTCTAGGCCCCTCTGATTTCTCTGGCCAGTGGAGCTCTGGGAAGGCGGGCGCAGAGAACTGGCTTCCAGACCCCGATCCAAACCTGCTGGCTGGCTGAGCCAGCTCAGCGAGGTCGCTTTGCTTCTCTGAGCCTACGTAATCAGCAGTGCCTGTGCCAGACGCCTCGTGGGGTGTCGTAAACTGTAGAGTGCCAGGCACTTGGGCAAGCCCAGCGCTTCTGTGGCTGTTACTGTGCTGATGTGTACCTGTGACATCGTGTTCCCTCTTCTTTCTTTTGCGTCCCCAAGTGGCCATATTCCAAGGGGGTGTGGCCTGACCGGGAAGACCAGCCATGGACACACGCTACCTTAGCAAATGGCTTTCTCGGGGGAGCAAATTTGAAAGGAACTCAGGCCCTGTCCCTGCCCTAGACCCCAAAGCCACCATCCCCAGATGCCTCCTCTTAATCTCCATGGCCGAAATTCAGGGCCCCCAAACCCTGGTACCCAGGGCTGTATCACCGCCCCCTCCCACGTCATTTCGGGAACCGACAGACACACTCTCCCTGAGAGCTCGGGGCCTCAGACAGCTCCCAGCCTAGCTCCCCTGCAGGTGGATTTGGGCCTCAGGAAGCATCAAGCTGTGTCCTGCCTCTCCCACCCAAATGAAAGCCCCTCCAGGGAAAAGACTGAACCCAACCCAGCGCACGGCACCTACTGTGAATACCTATACAGCAGGGGTGACACCCCGACGGCAGTAGGGAGGCTCTCTGGTCCTTCCAGAGCCTCTGAGATTGCACCTTCCAGCCAAATGGGAAAGTAATCCCATCAAATAATGCAAGAAAAGGAAAGACACGTTATAGGGAAAATTAGCTGATCAGTTAAACCAGTTCAATTCTAAACTATGGCTAACAAATTGGCTGTATTGTGATTGTGAAGCTTTGTAACTCTTTAGGCAGGATACTTAAAATAGACATAAAAATTAGGAAATAATCTGGAACAAAAATTTCTTATTATTTCAGCTAAATCTGAAAAGTGAGAAGAGAAAAAGAAGGGAGGAGGAAAAGTGTGCTAAAGATTTTTTTAAATTGAAGTATAGTTGATTTACACTAAAGATTTTATCTTAGCTGGAAGAACAGTTATTTTTCTACTCTTGATGCTAATAGATGGATACAAGTTTTAATATGTTTGTTAAAATTTTAAAGATAACCACTAGAAGAATTGGAGAGTTATATATATATATATATATATATATATAATTATAGTGTGTTATATTTGTAACATTATTATAAATTATGATAAATTAGCTTACATTGTATTCAACAAAGGAAATACATTCTAAGGAATATTTATAGAAATGGATTATGTTCTAGGCCTTAAAGAAAACCTTAATATAGTCCCAGATATAAAACTCTTACTGGCT